AAATACCGGTTAAGGAAAATACTAGTAATCCTTGGCACTTCTTGCACCCTCATATTAGAATAGTAATGCCTGCCATTTTTCTAAAGTTTTGCATTAGATAATGTTGAAGTCTTTTGTAAAATAAATCAGTATTTTTGCAACCTTTTTAAGGGTAGGGAATGTATTCAGCATCAGTTTTTAAAAAGATACTAGTTCTGATTTTATTCAGATTATTAGCCTCTAATCATACCTGCTTATTGGAATCATCAAAAAAAAAAAGATAAAGAATAAGAAGGAAAAGCAGAATTCTCCTCAGATCTTCAAGAAGAAACAATTTACTTTCATCTTCAGAGAATGTCTCTTCCATCTTAAAATGACTACCTGTAAGAGGTAAGAGAAAGACTTAACTCATATCGTAAGATGAAATGCTGCTTCACATCACCAGCTATGACCAACCTCTTCCAAAGGTTCCTTTTCCTGCTTAGCTCAGCAACTCAAGGCAAGGACCGAGCAAGCACAGAGTTTTTCCCAGGCAAAACATTCACTCAAAATATATCACTTGCCTTTCCCCCAAAGAAGAATCTTTTAATCCAATTCAGATACACATTTTTCTAAGTATCAAAGAGTTTTAGATGTTCACAGCTAAATGACTATAGTTGGAAGAGACAAGATTTTGGTATGTAAAGGATGCTCACTTTCTGCTCCTTTGAGGTGAGCCCTAAAGACTTGTCCCATCTCTTCTCTCTATCTGCTCTTGTCTAGTAAAGCCACCAAGGGAGTAACTTCATGACAAACAACTAACTACTTTGTGCATATATTTATCCAAAAAAGACATTTTGAAATTGATCTTCCTCATTTATTGGAACTTGTTCTACAGTTTATATACTCTTCCTGAGGCCTGGAATAGGTACCCTTTGTCAAAAAATAGTTGTTTACCTTCTCTTTTCAAGATCAGGTTTTGCCTCCCCATCCAATTCACCTATCCACAAAGCAGAAATTATTTTCCAGTGATGTAACCAAGCAATTACATACTTTCATCCCACAACTCTTTCGTGTTTTTTTTTTTCACCAAACCCTTTAACGTGACATTAGGTTTCACATTCACCTGTTGTAGCACTTCCCAGCTTAAAAGGGATCCAGTCAGCAGTCCTCAGCTCTCAAGGCAAACAGTGGGGAGTGAGGTGAGTGGGCCACCCTAGGTACCACACAAGCATAATAGCATCCACACGGTCCCATTCAGAAACTAATGCCAACACCATCTTCTGGGGCACAAAGGGGATCTCCACCACTTGTACACGGAGAGTGGGACTGTGCAACAAGGGTTCTGCTGAGAGATTTCTCCCTTGTTCCTGTCTTGGTGGCCACAGAAGCCCTGGTCTGGCAAGCTCTCTGAAGAGCCTCCATGTCCCAAGTCATGGGAGAACATGGACAGCCAGGAGGTCTTGAAAGTTACCCTTGAAATACTCTTCATCGCACAAGGTGCTGTACATTGTTTCCTTATAGGTTTGTACTGTCCCTGTTTGCTGGCTTTGTTAAGATGATTTTTGCTCTTGTACATACCAACTGGTCACTGCATTTGTTTCTTTACTTCCATTAAGTGCATGCCTAGCTCTTCCCTACAATGTAACTGCTTGCATCGTATCATCTCCTCGTAATTTTTACTTTGCTTTGCCCCTGCATATTTCAGCAGATTTTCTTTTCTGTTTTCTTTCCCAAGACTGCAGTCCGATAAATTACTGATAAATTTAATTTATGAAGCCTAGCAAACTCAAAAAAAATCATATTTAAAGTGAACTTTAGGATTCTTCTGCCAGACTTTTTCCCCATTTTTTACTCTGATCACCATTAAAATTTGAGGCTGAATTACAGATTCTATCAGCTCTTCCAAGCCAGCTCAACAGCCTGAAAATTGTTAAGAATGCTTCATAAATTTCTTCATATTTTAAATGTCATATAAAATTGATACCTTTTGGAAGTGGGTTTTTCTCCCTCAAACACTACGTTATTCCTCATACTTAGTAAAACTAATTGCCTTGTCCTTACTCAGGTAACTGCATGCTGCTAAACAAATCCTATATCTCAGAATCCTGACTACTCCTTTCCTCATTTTGCTTGTCAGGGCTTCCTGAATTTTGTCCACTCATTGCTGTGTTTCTGGCAATTTTCAGATGCACTGAATTTTTAGCTACTGCTCTATTTTATCTACTCCTGTCCTTGGTTTTCTTTTCCCTCCACATCTCTTGTGAAGATTCTTGGGTGGTTTTTAATAAGAAACCTGTTGCGTTGGAGCTGCAGTCTTTATCTTAACAACAGGTAACTAAAATTTTACGGAAAAGAGCTCATGAGAGAAAGGAGGACAGCTACATATGTCTCCACTGACTGCAAACACAGAACTAACTCAAACTGGCTAAACCAGTTCTTCATTTGCAGCCAATAACCTAATGGCCCACTGTTGTTTGCTGTGATTTCATGCAGCGTTTAACTTCCTGGCACTTCTTTCTGCACTGGAAAATTTTCCTGTACATTGCATAAGAAATCCAAAAAGAACATTCTGTTACTTTTCACTGTTTTTCTTGCTGGAGAAATACAGAGGACCTCTCATGGGTCAATTTCCGGACATGTGTTTATCTAAAATGAAGTGCACAATATAGTTTATTTCTAAACAAAACAAGGTACTGGTCTTGTTTCAGATAAACACGTACATCAGAATTTTACAATGATCATATTGTTTTCAGGCCAAGATTTCCATATGTTTTCAGGTCAAGACTTCCATACCCATTCTCCGTTTGTCTCAAATTTGGGACCAGACGCTTATTTCTATTTAGGAAGCTGGTTTATTTTCAGTTTTCAAAGAGCTGATCTTGTTTATTTAACTGCAAACAGGAGCTGACAACTCCAGAAGGCTTTTGTTGTGGTCCTTACCGTTCTTACTGGCTTTTCAGGAATCCAGGAAGATCACAATGCAGATATACTAAGAACAGTCTCTAGAGCACACACACTCTCTGATGGCGCAAACAGGCAGCAGAATACCATGAAGAAACTTCCAAGTAAATGCTCTTTTCCAGTGTAGATTTATAGTTGTATTATTTAGAACCCTTCTTTAGTCTTTACACTGGTAGTATACCACAGGATTTACTCTCTCACTGACTGAGATTTACACACAGACTCCTGGTAATACTAACTTGATGTGTTGCGTATGTCAATTTCTACACGTATCAGTGGCAGAACTCACTGGTCTTAATGGTTCTATCTTCACTGACAAAGAAGATGCAATATTCCGAGAAATCTCCACAATTTGGATGGCTTATACCAGAACCATGAAGGAGCTGAGCCTGAAAATTATTTTCACATTTATTCAAACGGTGAATTTTTCTTGCATCACTAGTTCGTTCTTCTCCCTCTTGCAGGGCTTGGCAGCAAAGCCTTCTGCTATCTTCCAGATCTTTCATGGTATAATATGGTCTTTTACAACTTACAAACATTTTGTAAGTTATCTTTGACAAAACAGCCCAATGTAAAAAAAGTCATACTTGATTTGCTAGCACAGCTTAAGGACAAGCTGAAATGCCTGAGTCAAAAATAAAAAACATTAACTGTTAAAAAGCCATTCCCAAAACTTTAAGGGCAAATTTCTCCATCAGTGACTCCCAGTGAAAAGTTCTAATTCTAGTTCACAGAAGAGTACTGAAGAAACACCTCTGGAGACAGCATTGTCACTAACGTTAGTATAGGATCCAAAAAACCCTCAAAAATTGTAAGCGGGGGACAGATTAGAGTGACAGATTTTATGTTCTGTTACTTACGGATTGCAAACATAAGCCAAAACTTGTTTTTCCCCTTATGACGCCACAAAAACGAAAAAAAAAAAAAAAAATTATTTCTGCGTTCCAAAGTAAGTGGCTAAATAGAAGATTTATGTTTGTTGGTGTTGTGTAATACTGCTGGACTAATTCCAGCCACTAAACTCTTCAGCTGTCTCTCGACAGGTGTAAAGTGGTTTCACTGACTTTGTACTTCTGCAAAAACACATCAGAACTATTTGGAGAGCCTGAAAAGCTTGAATATTACAGCTATGCCATTCTTAAGGACTGAGAGTCATGATCCCAGCTTAACTCTTTTATCTACATAATTGCAAACTATCCTTCCAAAATGATGTTCAAATGTACCATTATCAGTGTCTTTGCTAGTCTGTGGAACTATAATCTTCCGATGCCATAAGCATATGTGTAAACTTTTAGCATAAGCACTGAATGACAAGTCCCATGACTGAATACTAAAAAACTCAAATTTCTTCAACATCTCCCACCACTAAACTAGTTAACCAATTACATTATAGATTTCATCCACTTTCTCTCTTCCTATTAAAAAAAAAAAATCACAATTCACAATTGGAATGTGAAATAAAAAGGTTGAGGTTGAATTTGTTCTTTCATCAACAAATCCCGCCAGATCTTTAGCTTTTATGCAATATTGGGTTTTAAAAAAATATATAACTTCCACCAATTAACTGTTATACAAGCTTTAACTTAAAAGCCCGACACAGATCAAAATTAAAATAAAATCTAAAAAAACACTTTGCCTTTGGTAGTACTGCTTTCCAAAATAACGACAATGACATACGTTAGCAGTTTCTTTTGCAACCAAAGGTTTCCCACGTACGTCAGCCCTACAGGTGCTTTACGAGAAGCAGGCAGGCTCAACAACCTGTGTCTAATATTGCATTACAGACTTTATTCACCTGAGCCCCCTGGTTACGTGAGGAGTCTTTCAGTGAGTCTACTCACGCAAATACAGGTTATTCGTAGTGAACGTCTGCTTCTGTACTTCAAGCACAGAAAACACTAACAATGAATATTGTTCATATACGTTTTAGGAGCTCCAAATATTTTGGCAGGGAAGCTTTTGTCTTTTTTTTTTTTTCCTGGCAGGATGGAACTACGCTCGTGCAATCTGTTTAAATTTAAACAACGTATGGCAGAATATTACTTTTAAAATGTAAATGACAAAAACATGTATCACAGATGCGACTGCACTATAGAGCGAGCCCGCCCAGAGTGACAACGCATGGAGGTGTGTGCAATAAAAAGCAAAAACAAACAAACAAACAAACAAAAAACCCACACACACCCCCAACCCCCAACCAACAAAAAAAAAAAAAGTAAAGAAAGAAAGAAGGGAGGCACCTGGCGCAGAGGCACACTCCCCTCAGGGTTGCCAGGGCCGATTCTGAGCAGGCAGCTGGGGCCGGGCCCTCAGCGACGGGCG